CACCACACCACCTGCTACACACACACACACACACACACACACACACACACACACACGATTTTTACGCAACCAGATTGGAGACTTGAACTGCAGTTGGCTATGTAAGACTCCAGTACTCTAACCACCCTGCCACCTGCCTGCCCCAGAATGTGCACTTTTTTTAAGAATTAGTTTAACTTTATTTTAATTTGATCGGAGAGGGACAGAGTAAGAGAGAGCTCTGTTACAGAGGCGGGATAGGGACGGGTGTACCGGCTTCCTGTGCAGGAGGAGCCGCAACCGCGTAATTCAGTGCGGTTCGGTTCTGGAGGGGAGGCTTGGGGCATGGTGTTAGCCGTCCTGGCTGGGCCGCTCACGCTCACGTCCCTCCCCCGCAGGCACCAGGCCGTGCGGATCCAGGAGGGACGGTACCGCCATCCCGGCTGCTACACCTGCGCAGACTGCGGGCTCAACCTGAAGATGCGCGGCCACTTCTGGGTGGGAGACGAACTCTACTGCGAGAAGGACGCCCGCCGGCGCCACTCAGCGACGCTGGCCCTGGGCTCCAAGGCCTGAGCCCCGCCCCCTCCTCCCCAGGCCAGGCCACGCCCACGCAAGATGAGGGGCGATGGTGGTGACTCTCACCTGGACGAGGTCTGGGGGCTGGCCCCTTCGTCTTCACTGGGTGATGCAAAGGCTGGGCCTGTCTTGGGCGGCCTCCCCGGTCCAGGCCTCTCCCCTGCAGGACTGTCTGAGGGGGCCCTGTCTCTGACGTCTGCGTGTTCCGGCTGAGCAGGGTGGGCCTCAGAGAAGCATCTGGAAGTGGGTGGGAACCAGAGGTGGATAGTATTCACTGTGTAAAGCTCCACATATGAGCTCCATAAATAGATGCCATGAACCCACAAAGCAGGACCCTCTCTTTTCCTTCGCTGGCCCTGGGGTGGGCTACCCCTGTTGGGGGTGAGTCTGTGTTTCTTTCTTTCTTTCTTATTATTTTGAAAAATTCGCCTGAGGGCACATGTGCGTGCCAGAGAAAGTGGGGAGACGAGCGAACACCCCTAGTGGTGTCCTCTCCTCCATCTCTGCCCTTGTGTGTTTTTGGAGCTAGCCTACACACCTGGTATGCTTTTTCTTTCTTTTTATTTTTAAAAAGATTTAATTTAATGTATTCATTCATTTTTAACTTGACCAGAGAGACAGACAGAGAGAAAGTGAGAAAGCAAGCCACCAGGTCCAGGACTCTAACCGTGGTTGGCCATGTAGGAGTGTCCAGCACCCTGACACCACACACCTGCTGGCCCGGGGCCTGGTGTGTTTTCAAGCGGCAGGTTCAGGATTTGAACTTGGACAGCCATGTTGGATCTGGCGTTCTTCAATACTGGGCTATAGCAGGCCCCCTTATTTTTTTTCCTTGAAGCTTATTTTCTTTCTCTTGTGAGAAGGAGAGGGACCCACGGTGAGGTCCCAGCACACTGCCAGCTTCCCAGCTAGCCAGGATCATGGCTGTGTGGCCCTGGAGGGTTCAAGTGACTGGGCACCTGAACCTGGCCTCCCACGAGCCCCCAGCCTACACTGGCTCCACCACCAGCGCCACCTGAGGGGTGGCTTGGAGGATCCCTTATAAGGAGCTCTCTAATCCCCTCCTGGGGGCGAAGTGAAGGGGGCGCCTCTTTCGTGCCCTTCCTTAACCTTAGTGAGGATGTCCGCACCACTGAGATGGTCCCTGGTCTTTCTAGGGGATGAATCTCTCCCTGGGGGTCTGGGGAAGGGCAAGGTTGCCGGCCAAGGCCTGGGAACCTGTTGAGCTGAGACCATCTGAGTGGACAGTCCGCTGGTGAGCTGGCACAGCGGCTGCACCATGGCCCTCGCTGTATGGTGTGGACGCTGCCTGGTGAGCTGACCGGTATGAGACCCTGGCCAGAGCGAGGCTCAGCGGAGGGAGGGGGCGACATCGGACGTGCCTCCTGTGCACGCCTGAGCTGGCAGCCCAACTGAGAAAGGTCATCGGGAACCACCTTGGGGCAGGGCCTGTGCTGACCTGGTTCGGCCCAGCCCACGAAGAGCCCGCATGGGACCGGCCTGTCTGCCCGTACCTTCCGCCTCTAGCCTGGGAGGCTTGCCAGCTTGAGGAGACTTGAACCTGGGCCTCCCACAGTGGTCAGTGGTCGGAAAACATACAACACAAATGGCCACTGTCAGGCATCCAAGTGGAGGCAGTGGCCTCTTGTAGCTGGGATTGTTTAGCCGGAGTTCACCCCCTCCCTCTCCCCCTCATCTCAGAGACCTTTCCAGTTCCTCAGCTGCTGTGGGGGCTCTAGACCCAGCCTGCTCCCCAGTCACCTGGGATGGGCGCAGCCCCAGGGATCTGCTCAGGGAAGGATCTGAGGGGCTCCAGGGGGTGCCTGGCAGCTGCAGCCTTGCCCTTGCGCCATAAGGCCCTCCAGGAACGAGTGTGGGCAGAGATGGGGAGGTGGTGTTGTTTCCTGAGGCTTTGGGAGATACAACTTACACCTGGATGGAATTGACTCACCTTTTTCCAGGATGGCCGACCAAGGACGGGCCTTTATGTTTAAGGAGAAGATCAAGGTGGCTCAGGAGGCTGTAAGGCCAGAGCTACTCAGAAAGGGGCGCGCCTCTCTGGCGCCACCTAGGGTCAGATGCAGCCCATGGTGTGGAGAATGCTCCCAAGACCGCCATGAATACCCGGTTCCTGGCGCAGAGGACTCAGAAGGGTATGGCGCATTTCTTGCTTTCCTGGAGAGAACAGGCAAGTGGCAGCCATGGAGCAGGCACGAATGAGATCACGCTTATGGCAGGTCGGCTCAGGGCTGACTTGGAACACTGAGAGGCAAAGCAGTGGCCATCTGTGCAGGAAGACCAGCCGGCCTTGGACCCGAGGTGGAGCAAAATGCTGGGCGGTGGGGTGCGGGGGGGGGGGGGGCGCTCGACT